TCACATGTATCAGAAATCTTCCCTATGAGGATAGACTGAAGGCCCTGAATCTGCACTCTCTTGGAAGGCGTAGAATTAGGGGGGATATGATCGAGGTGTATAAATGGAAATCAAGAATAAATAAAGGGGATGTAAATAGCGTGCTGAAAATTTCCAGCCAAGACAGGACTCGCAGCAATGGACTCAAGTTGGAAAAATTCAGATTCAGAAAGGATATAGGAAAGCACTGGTTTGGTAATAGAGTTGTGGATGAGTGGAACAATCTCCCGAGTGCAGTTATTCAGGCTAAAACGTTGTGAAGTTTTAAAAATAGGTTAGATAAATACACGAGTGGGTGTGGTTGGGTGTGAATTGTACCTGACTAGCTTGTGCTGCTGGGTCTGATGCTGTGCTCCTTCCTTGAGTGAAGGTGACCGGACTGGGTGGGTCATTGGGCTAATCCACAGGGGGGACATGGACCTGCTCTACATGGGTCAGTAGGCCTGCTGCAGTGTTCCTTCTTTCTTATGTTCTTATGTTCTTAATTATACACAACTGGGGAGGAGGTGGAGATGCTCCTAAGTGACCTTGACACCTCAAAAATGGTGGGAACGGACATCTCTCCATGGGTCCTTAGAGATGGAGCAGAGACACTATGTGTGCCACTAACCAAAATCTTCAACACTTCCCTTGAAACTGGGCAACTACCTGAAGTATGGAAGAAGGCAAATGTAGTCTCCATCTTTAAGAAATAGAGAGAAATGAAGCACTAAATTATAGACCTGTGTCACTGACGTTTATAATATGCAAAGTCATGGAGAAGATTATCAGGAGAGTGGTGGAGCACCTGGAGCAGAACAAGGTTATAAACGACAACCAGCACAGATGCATCGAAGGCAAATCCTGTGTCACAAACCTACTAGAGATTAATGACAAGGTAACTGATGTAAGAAATGAGTGGGAGGGGTGGGTTGACTGCATTTTCTTGGACTGGAAGAAGGCCTTCGACACAGTTCCTCACAAGAGATTAGTACAGAAGCTAGAGGAACAGGCACATATAACAGGAAGGCACTGCATTGGATCAGGGAATAACTAACAGGGAGGGAACAGTGAGTCATGGTCCATGATGAGGTATCACAGTGAGCACCTGTGACGAGCGGGGCCCCACAGGGGTCGGTGCTAGGACTAGGGCTATTTTTGGTATATGTGAATGACATGACGGAAGGGATAGACTCAGAGGTGTCCCTGTTCGCAGATGATATGAAATTAATGACGAGAATTAAATCAGATGAGGATCTGGCAGGACTTCAGAGAGACCTAGACAGGCTGGACACCTGGTCCAGCAACTGGCTTCTTGAATTCAACCCTGCCAAGTGCAAAGTCATGAAGATCCGTTAAGGGCAAAGAAGACCGCAGGCAGAGTATAGACTAGGCAGCCAAAGACTGCAAGCCTCGCTCAAGGAGAAAGATCTTGGGGTGACCATAACACCGAGCATGTCTCCGGAGACACACATCAACCAGATAGCTGCTGCAGCATATGGGCACCTGGCAAACCTGAGAATAGCATTCCGATACCTTAGTAAGGAATCGTTCAAGACACTTTACACTGTGTACATCAGGCCCATACTGGAGTATGCAGCACCAGTTTGGAACCCAACAAGGCTTGTTCCGGAGGTCAGGGGTATGTCCTACGAAGAAAGGTTAAGGGACATCGGACTGGCTACACTGGAGGACAGGAGAGTCAGGCGAGACATGATAACGACATACAAAATACTGCGTGAAATAGATAAGGTAGACAGAGACAGGTTGTTCCAGAGAGGGGACACAGAAACAAGGGGTCACAATTGGAAGCTGAAGACTCAGACGAGTCAGAGGGATGTTAGGAAGTATTTCTTCAGTCATAGAGTTGTCAGGAAGTGGAATAGCCTAGCAAGTGATGTAGAGGAGGCAGGAACCATACATAGATTTAAGATGAGGTATGACAAAGCTCAGGAAGCAGAGAGAGAGAGAGAGAGAGAGGACCTAGTAGTGATCAGTGAAGAGGCTGGGCCAGGAGCTGAGTCTCGACACTGCAACCACAATTAGATGAGTACAATTAGGTTAGTACACACACACACACACACACACACACACACACACACACACACGGGGCCAGGAGCTGAGTCTCGACCCCTGCAACCACAATTAGGTGAGTACACACACACACACACACACACACACACACACACACACACACACACACACACATATATATATATATATATATATATATATATATATATATATATATATATATATATATATATATATATATATATATATATATATATATATATATATATATATATATATATGGTTGGCGTTAATACTCTTGTTCTTGTTCCGTTCCTTGTGCTCCACCACTCTCCTCCTGATAATCTTTTCCACAACTTGGCATGCTATAAATGACAGTGACACTGGTCTATAGTTTATGCCTCTTTTTTGTCTCCTTTTTTAAAACTGGGTACTACATTTGCCGTCTTCCATACCTCAGATAGTTGTCCAGTTTCAAGGGATGTGTTGAAGATTGTGGTAAGTGGCACACATGGCATATCCGCTCCCTCTCTAAGGACCCATGGGGAGATGTCCGGTCCATTGCCTTTGAGGTGTCAATGTCCATTAGCAGCTTCTTCACCTCCTCCTCAGTTGTATGTATGTCATCCAACACTTGTTGGTATATTCCTTGTTGGTGCCCCCCTCTGTTCTGTCGTCCCAGAGGCCTTCCTGTCTCCACTGTAAATACTTCCTTAAATCTCATGTTGAGTTCACATACCTCTTGATCATTTCTTGTGAGTTCCCCACCTTCTTTCCTCAGCCTGATCACCTGGTCTTTGATTCTTATCTTCCACCTAATGTGGCTATACAGCAGTTTCGGGTCAGACTTGACTTTCGATGCAATGTCGTTTTCGTACTGTCGCTGGGCCTCCATCCTTACCTGTGCATACTCGTTTCTGGCTCTTCAACTAATCTCTTTATTTTCCTGGGTCCTTTGCCTCCTGTACCTTTTCCATTCTCTGGTGCACTTAGTTTTTACCTCACTGCACCTTCGGGTAAACCAAGGACTCACTTTGGTCTTCCCATTATTTCTGTTGCCCTTGGGAACAAACCTTTTCTCTGCCTCCTTGCATTTTGTTGTTACATATTCCATCATCTTGTTTACTGACTTTCCTACCATTTCTCTGTCCCACTGAACCTCCTGCAGGAAGTTCCTCATACCTGTATAGTCCCACCTTTTATAGTTTGGCTTTTCCCATTCAATTCCTGTTACCCTCTGCACTTGTAACTCTACTGTATATTCAAAACTAAGAACCCCGTGATCACTAGCTCCAGGGGGCCTCTCGTAAGTGATGTGTGTGTGTGTGACATGCCGAATAGGTAAAACTTGCGATTTTGGCTTAAATAGCAACGCTCTTCTTGCCGAATAACGCAAACGCAAATTCGGGTATGCAATAATTTCTCAAAAAACCTTTTTGAATCTAACGAAAAAAAATATATTTCATTATGTAATTGTTGCCTAACAATCAGTGTCCATTTACTGAAAAATATAAAGAAAGACAGTATAATTACCTCTGTGATATGTCGAGATATATTTTGACGAAAATAGGACACAAGACATATTAAGCAATTTTCGTAAAATTGCTTGTAACAGATAAGTTAACTGCCTAGTTCCTAGGCCGTTTGTGCATTAATATGCTCTTGCGCTTCCCTCCACAGGATGGGTATGGGTGATCACAATATACCAACAGTTTCAGCGGCTAAATTAATCAAAATTAGGCGCATTCCCAAGGAATAGCTAAGGCAATTAGGTATAAGGTTTCTTGTATCCAGGAGAGAGACGCACCTACCTTATTTTCTGACATTCTGTATATAACTATGTTGTTGCACTTGGTTAACTACATCACTTCACTTTATGAATCATTTTGCTGCAGTTATGTTTTCTTTACGACAGTTCATCTTATTGGCAAATAATTAGCCTTCGTCAACACATCCTGAAGTCCGAGTAGACCACCACCTCTGATTATACTTCACCCATTACTGCTCTGTGATCCTTATGTGTTTAGCGTTTACCTACGATAATAATAATAATAATAATAATAATAATAATAATAATAATAATAATAATAATAATAATAGTATTAATAATAATAATAATAATAATAATAATAATAATAATAATAATAATAATAATAATAATAATAATAATAATAGTAATAATAATAATAATAATAATAATAATAATAATAATAATTCACTCGCTACTGTAACTAATACCTAGGCAACTGTATACATGTCGGATAACATAAGAAACAGATATAAGGATTCAACTTGCTAACACATTCACTCTCTATGCAACCCATCGACACCATGCCCAGCCCTTCTAGGGTAGGGTAGGTGCCTGTGCCCGAGCTTGCAGCTCACAAGACTGTCATTCCCATTAGCTCCCATGGGGCGGGGATGGCAGACCAGAGAGGCCTAGCTTGTGGCTAGGCCTGGGGACAGTTGGTCCCAAAGATGAGGAGGTACTTGTGCCTCCTCCCATGGGAGACTTAGGTTTCAGACACTCCCTAAAGAGGAAACCAAGGCCGGGCCACCACTTGGGAAAGGCCCGGGCCGGGAGAATACCGGCGAATCTTTAATAATAATAATAATAATAATCTATGCAACCCACAGTTATTCGTCAACCCTTAGATTCCTCTTTATCGCAAAGACAAAAAGAGGTTGTATGTATAGGGTAACTTGCCTTTCCTGTCCTCTTCCCCTGAGAATCAATGCTTAATGTATTTGACTACCAAATACTTGACTCCTGAGCTACACGTTACTTAATGATTAGTATGATGCTTAGAAGGGAAATATTCTCTGATTACATCACATACAAAGTTCCATTAGTTAATTTCTCTCTTAATGTATAAAAGACGATTATTTTCCTCTTGAAAGGTTTTCTGCTGAGTACAGAGAGACGGTCACCTGCGAGACTCAACCACAACACAACAGTGGCTCGTCTGCCGTGGTCGAGTGAGGGTGTGTTGCGCGTCGCTCCCACCTTCCTGCCAAATTTTTCAGATATGTTGCCTCCAACAATAGTATATATGTGATGCATTTAAGTTTGTTATGAGGCTTATTTGGTATCAGGGATTTACTTTCCGGAGATCGTCGTATAACTATTTTCAATTTACGGAAATGTTATGGAGACCTTCCAGTCGAAAATGAAACATTATTAAATTGCAGTATTTTATATTAATGGAATGGAAACTACTCGTTGTCTTCATTTTTGCGGGAAAAATTGTACCTTATTTGTGGTTCATTCATTATTACTGAAGCTACATACAATCCGTCAGACAACGTTCAAAGATGACTCATAAAATCCAAGAATATTTTAACAAATCAATATTGAATACTACAGAATATTAAAAAACCTGTTCGTATGCGGATTTCTATACGTGTATTGGCGAGTGTTTATGTGAAAATAGAATGAACAGAAGTCAAGTTTAGAAAGTCTATGAAATCTTGAAGTCAATATATTACCAGCCTAAACAACTTGCGTTGACACATATACGTGAGTTGGAAATCGTAAGTGATAGAGTACAGGAATTATACGTGTAATACTTGACCAGATCTTAAATAATTCACGTTTGTGATTCGGAAGGTTGAACTGACTCAGTAGTTAGGGAAGAATTACACTATGGCTCGTTAAATGTTCGTTTCCCTGACATTAATGTTGTTCAGTGGTATATAATATAAGTCACTTTATCCTTGTAGACTAGAAAACAATGTTATTACGTATGGAAAGACACACCTTATGTAATAATTATTTTATTCTCCTCACAAAATTATAATATTCAGTCATTGTGGACTTCTTATTATATGTTAAATTAATTTGTTTGGTGAATATTTAGTTGAATATTTAGTACTGGAGTTAAAATTATGTGAACACATTATTTAAAGTAGCATACGTCAACAGTGGCACATAATGTACTCAACAAATTGTGGTTGCAAGGGTCGAGAGACAGATCCTCTGTGTGTGTGTTCTTGTAGAATAGATAATGAGCTGTAAGTGAATACTATTAATATCTTCTTATGACTTGTAAAACGTCTTAAAACTGCAGTTCGAACAAAAATTCTGGAAACCATCATTAAAAGTAAAAATATGAAAGAAAAAACTGAGATGTACTTTTGCATAAATTATGTATTAATCGTTGGTATGACTGGCGACTCATGATCACTGAAACGTCCTTAGTACCACAAGGGGGCAGTTTTGTACCCGTTCACTTTGGCGACCAATGACCTGCCTCCAGGAATATAATTACAAGAACGTGGAGACTTGATCATCATGGTTCCTTTCTTCCTCCTAATCTACACTTCATTACTGCAGAACATCGACGCTGCTACACTGGAATCTATAAATAGTAAGACCAACTCTTCTGTATTTGACAATATTCTCAGAAACACAGTTTAGTTTCATTTAGAAATTTGTGTTTTAAATTTTTCCACCATCGGTGATGCGCTAATTTTATTTTCAGAAATTAAGGGAATATAGATGCGAATAGTCTTCTATGACGAGGAGGAATTTCACCACAAGCTGGCAAACTTATAGATTAACTTGATCTATTTTGTTCGATCCGGGAAAGGTCACCCCGTATTGCATACCCCCCGTGTTGCATACCCCCCGTATTGCATACCCCCCGTATTGCATACCCCCGTATTGCATACCCCCCGTATTGCATACCCCCCGTATTGCATACCCCCGTATTGCATACCCCCGTATTGCATACCCCCGTATTGCATACCCCCCGTATTGCATACCCCCGTATTGCATACCCCCCGTATTGCATACCCCCCGTATTGCATACCCCCCGTATTGCATACCCCCGTATTGCATACCCCCCGTATTGCATACCCCCCGTATTGCATACCCCCGTATTGCATACCCCCCGTATTGCATACCCCCGTATTGCATCCCCCCCGTATTGCATACCCCCCGTATTGCATACCCCCCGTATTGCATACCCCCGTATTGCATACCCCCGTATTGCATACCCCCCGTATTGCATACCCCCCGTATTGCATACCCCCCGTATTGCATACCCCCCGTATTGCATACCCCCCGTATTGCATACCCCCCCGTATTGCATACCCCCCGTGTTGCATACCCCCCGTATTGCATACCCCCCGTGTTGCATACCCCCCGTGTTGCATACCCCCCGTATTGCATACCCCCCGTATTGCATACCCCCCGTATTGCATACCCCCCGTATTGCATACCCCCCGTATTGCATACCCCCCGTGTTGCATACCCCCCGTGTTGCATACCCCCCGTGTTGCACGCAAGAAGATTAATGCAGAGTGAGACATAAGTATTTAATGCAGCTCAGTATTAGCGTTGAAGGTTTGAAGTGAATCAGATTTGTTATTCACAAGTTATCACATGGACACTAAAGGGTCAACACAATCTCATATCTCAGTGACCAATATCCTAAAGTACACCAGCACGTTAAGTATGACGTCAGCCAGAATTTACATTATCAGAATTAAACGCTTGAAAATCATTTAAATTTTGCCGCTTTCTTTTATAAGAAAGAGCATATTGGGATCAACAATGGCCATGATAAATCGAAGACTTTCTTTAAATTGTTTTGGCAAGCATTTAAAATTTAATTTTAGGTAAGATTGGTTAGGAAACAGGGCTAAGTGTTTCCTTACGTGGGCTTTAGACAATAGCCCGCCGTTAGAACTTTTGGTCATGTGACTGTGGCCTTTCCCTGGCTTACCGGTCCACCTCTTTAAAAGTTATGGTCATAGTTTTAACCATTTATTAACTCTTTATAATTTAAGTAAGAATCCATGTAAATATTCATGATTTATTAAATGAACGTTAAGTAGATGTATCCAAGTGTAAGCCAGTAAAGTCACATTCTCCAGGTATTTCAGAGCATCTGGAATACCGGAGGAAAACACAGCGCCACAAATCTGAAGTCGACCAGAAAAGTAATTTTCCCACTTACTGCCCAAACTGCCTCGCACAATGTGCAGTGTGATGCTTTCAGGTTTGATTTAAATAAGAGGAAGACAAGTCCACTTCCTTGGATCCAAAGCTCCTCTCCAGTCTCAAGGCAAAATAATGTAATAATATAAAAGATTACTGTACCATTTCGAGATTAAAATTGATAAAATGGCGCCTGCATATTTTGTGAACAATACTAAGCTTCTAAGAAAACCCCCCTCAAGGTTTTTTTTTTGTCTTGGGAATTGTATCTGTGCTCCAGTCCCCTGAATTAATCTTGAATGTCTTCAGCCCCTCCCCCTCCCCACAGGTGCTGTATAATCCATACGGATTTAGCGCTCCCCCATAATTCTAAGTGGTTAGGTAAGGTTCGTCAGGAAACAAGTGCCTCCTGCCGCGGGTCTTAGACGATGACCCGCCGTTGGAACTTTTGGCCCTCTGACCGAGGCCTTCCACTGGCTTACCGGTCCACCCATTTAAACATAACCATTTAGTTAATTCTAAAAGGAATACAGAAATGTGGAAATTTTAAAGATGATCCGAGGAGCTTGTCTTCACCTCTCACACGGAAACAAAGTTTGATCTTGGCCTATATAAGGGGTAGCCACCCGTGTATCTTGCCTAAGAAACATTGCTTCAGCCTTTATAATTTGATGCCGATCGGAAAGGTCATTCTCCAGTTATAAACTGAAATTTAGGAAAAATAAACAAAAAAAATATTCCTGAGAAATGTCTCAGTAATAGGAAACAAATGCGAGTTTCTATTTTTTCCTCTAAATTTTGCTTTCAATTTTATTCTCCATTTCAAAATGTTTACAGTCATATGAGAAGTTTTTTTTTTATTTAGTCAGAAAATCCAATTTGATCAAATTAGCCATACCACGGGTGGGGTTAGAACCCGCGATCAGAGTCTCAAAACTCCAGACCGTCGCGTTAGCCACTGAGCCAGCTAGCTACAATAAGATTCATCCAACTAGGTATATTTCTACACCATAGGAAGGTTAGCACAGGCACCACTGTGACCACAAATGCAAGTTCTTACAGACGAATCTCCAGCTAGCGTGGCCGTGACGGACTCTAGCTCAAGTCCCCTGAAAGCCATCAACATGACTCACGAAATCGTAATGACACGATTGCAAACAAACTGTACTACGGGTGAGGTTAGAACCCGCGGTCAGAGAGCCATAAAACTCCAAACCGACGATTTCGCGAGTCATGTTGACGGCTTTGAGGGCCACGCTAGCTGGAGATTCGTCTGTAAAAACTTGCATTTGTGGTCACAGTGGTGCCTATGCTAACCTTCCTATGGTGTATAAATATACCTAGCTGGCCCAGTGGCTAGCGCGTCGGTCTGGAGGTTGGGTGTCTCGAGTAGAAGAAACATTTTCATCATCACTTATTCCATCGCTGTCGTGACTGAGGCGTCGACATTTTGGTACAGATGCTCCTGTAAGGTACAGCATCTCCACCCGTCTTTCAGAGTACAGGCACTGTACTTCCCACCTCCAGCACTCAAGTCTAGATAACTGGTTACCGTGAATCCCTTCATTAATATTATCTATTTCACAATCCAACAACACATCAAGTCATAAAACACACTTTCCTTTACTAACTCTTATCTAACATGTTCACATGCGCCTGTTACATGTCAAGCACTTGAATACAAAACCTTTACCCTCTCCTACCTTTTCTAGAACGACACCTTCCGCATATTCTCTCCACTACAAATATATACACTCTTTAAATCATTCTATTTTATTCATCTTCTCTTAGCGTTCAAACCACCTGTATAACCCCTCTTCAGCCCTCTGGATAATACTCCTAGTAGCCCTGCTGTACCGTATCTCCAAGCTACAAATTGTGGGCATGATATTCACACCACATATTGCCCTTAACTACAAAGACTCCAATCTCCTCGCTGCATTATTTATAAGAGAGTTGGCGGCACTACTATCCTCTGATATATAGCCCTCGTTTTCTTTCATGGATAACCTTCTTCGTCTCCACAGATACATCAGTGCACCTGCCACAGTCTTCCTCTCTTCAGTTCTGTTGTTCACTCTACCTCAATACCTGAACTCATTCATTAGTTTCAAACTCTCTCTGTCCAGTCTGATATTCATTCTTTCCTTTAATAAATTTTGCGTTGCTCCCTTGCGTCGCCCTTTCGTACCCCTCAAGGAAGGTTCCTTGATGTTTGTGAGGGGCTCTTGATTTAGGGAATTGGATCTGTGCTCCAGTTCCCCGAATTAAGCCTGAATGCTTTCCACATCCCCCTCCCCAGGCGCTGTATAATCCTCCGGGTTTAGCGCTTCCCCCTTTATAATAATAATAATAATGCCCTTTCGTAATTTCTTTTACATTTCTTCCCAAATTTGTTAACCAACTTTTGCAACTTCTCTTCTAATCTCCCGAAAGAACATTGTCACCAGCAAAAGGCAACTGTGACAACTCACACTTTATATTAGATTATTTACTCTTTAATCTCACACCTCTCCGGGACATCCTAGCATTCACTTTTCTTACAACCTCATCTCTAAATATATTAATCAGTTATGGTGACACATCCCTGTCTAAGGTCTACTTCTCCTGGAAAACAATTATCCCTCTCTCCTACTTACCCTAACCTCGGCTCACTGTCCTAATCATTAATATTTTGAATCCATCCAGAAGAAGCAGTTTTTAGTAATTGAATATAATGAATCATACACAAATACCCGCACATAAAAGAGAGAAGCTTACGACGACGTTTCGGTCCGACTTGGACCATTGACAAAGTGACTTTGTCAGTGGTCCAAGTCGGGCCGAAACGTCGTCGTAAAGCTTCTCTCTTTTATGTGCGGGTATTTGTGTATCGTTCCAGTCACGGTATTGTGCCTTTTTGTTATTTATGAATATAATGAATATCACTATTCATTAATATTATTCATTAACCCACCCAGTGGTAGCATAAACCTTACATACAGGACACCACACTGGTGGTGAACATTTAGAGGCAGTCAGATGAGATGCTGTTCATTTACAACAAGGATTTCTCCGATTCCAATCATTTTTAATTATTTTTCTGTATCAACAAGTTTGCTTGCACTTACAAAACTTAATGGGTACTATCGTAGCGGTAGGATGCTTCAGTTATAATTACTAAAGCCTTTCAAAATAAGCAACCTGAAAAATATGTAATGTACTTCACCGGAAATTTATGTGCATATTTTGAACACAAAATTGTTACATGTGCACCAATAAACTTAAATTTCAATCTCTACCATCCGCGAATTAGGAGAAACTTTTTTTTAACATTCGAAGCTATAGCGACAAGTGTTTGGTAAGTTATCTGAGTCATTACAAGATGGAAGTGAGTGGAACAAGTTTGCTCATAGGTTCCCTACACAAGAATTGGGCCCTGGC